GCGGTACCGAGCGCTCCCAGCCCGGGGGAACGAACCGACTCGTCACACACGGTGCTCACCACACCCCGCGCACTTCAAACGCACATGAAAGGCCCGGCTCCTGCCCCGAGGGGGTTACGGTCCGAGCCAGCCACACACACAAACAACACCGAGATAACAGGAGCCAGTTTTCTGCCACGCACCGCAGTTTGTGAAGTGCCTGCAAATCACACTCTCAGACCACACTGGCACCAAAGCAAGCGACAACACTTCCCTCGTCGCACCCTTGCCCGGTCCCAGCCCCAGTGGGACACCAAGGCTATGAGGGGTGGGCTCGGATTTTTAAATTTTTTTCCCATCACAGTGAGCTGAACCAAGCCAACAACTCACAGCGAGCCAGGCCTGTCTGCCCCTGGAACAGCACTTTGGTGTGTGTGAGAGCACAACTCATTTCTTCATCCTGTGACAAGGCTGTTCAGCTCCAGGGCCACCACAAACTGTTGTAAACACTGGTGGTTATTTGAGTTACATGTGTGATGCTGCTCCTCCAAGTTCTACCTGAAGGAGGATTTGAGAACTCATGCACTGATCTGAAGATATCACATTTTATTTACTTTGCTAGCTTGGAAAGTCTTAACGAACACGCACTTATTGGTGTAAATTTTTTTGCTGAGTTCTATTTATAGAGGTTTTGTATCAAAAGCAATCCACAAATGGCATACAAAGTGCAGACAAGTCTCTCACATGTACAAACCAGTGCCAGGTTGCCTTGTGGGACCTGCGAGCTCCCTCGATTCCCTGTCTCCAGAGGCACCCTCAGCTTCTAATTAGACCACAGCTCAGCAGAGCATTTTAGCATCTGCTTAAATCCATCCCTACTTAGTAAAGGAATGAATAGAAAGGAACGGATGGCTGAACAACAGCCTGGGAGAGGGAGAATGGGGCTGAGGACATGCTAACAGAGCAGCATTCCTTTGAGAACAGGTAGATGTTTCACACAACATATCCCATCCTTAACTGAAGGCCAGCATCATTATAGAGACCTGTTACAGCAGTGCTTAGATATTTAAAGTAATAGAAATTTTGAAGGTAAAAAGGATGTTGCAGTGACCAAAGCCTTCATTTTCATTTGTTCCACAGCACAAATATTACCAAGTTCTTAGAAATTCCTGGTACTGTGGTACTGTTTCATGTCCTGAACTGTAGCTATTCACTGCCACTGCATTGCAAATAATCTTGCAAGGCTACAAACACAAAAACACAAAACCCAATAAAGAGGATAATAATTCCAGCAGGGCTCTCTCTTTTGATAAATGAAAAATCAAATTAGTACTACTTTTTCTTCTTTTTTTTTTTTTTTTTTGGGTTGACTCAGCTGTATCCAGATTGCTTCAATTCTGGATGAATTTAAACAGAAAAACAAATCTCAGCCTGTTGTGAGCTACCTGAAAATGGTGTTGGTGATATAACAAGCTTCTGCCTCTAAAAGCTGATGTTAAAATATCATTGCCTTTTTCTGCTGGCTCTTGGTTACACAGCATCTCCCCACTCTCATCCAGGATCCCATGTCTGCAGGAACTTTTCTCAGGAACTGCACCCTGAGACGTGAAAGAGGGGACATAAACTATTGCCCCACTTAATTCAGTCCTCTAAGGCTCCTGAGGTAAGCAGCCACTTACCTACAGGCAGAAACATAACTTTATTACCCAGAATTTTGGAAGAAGCGAATGGTGCAGGTCCAGGCGCGGGGCAGGGCGCTCTGGTACCCGAGGCAGCAGATGGAGCGTTCTCTAACTTCACTCCCAGCACGGAACTCGACGTGCAGGAGCCAAGACAGACATTTGTGTCTGGTAATGCCATCTGTGTCTGCGAAACTGCAGCGCTCTCGCTGGAGTGCTTTTTGTTTGTAGGGAACACGTTAATGGTGGGGATGGCATACTGCAAACTCTCAGCATTATGGGAATGCTCAGAACGAGAAAGGAATGAATCGATCCCATTTCTGAGCAGCAGTCATTAATAAAGCATATGAATATAGATGATTCACAGAAAAGAATGGGCAGTGTGAAGCAAGTGACTCCACAACTGAACATGATTTACTTCATAAGGGCTCAGACCCTCTGGGTTCTCACAGCAGTAGCTGGGACCAGTATCTCTACAGGAAAGGGTCAAGTTGAATTCCCAAAGATGGAGAAAGCCAATCTCTTGAGGAGTTAATCTTTAAACCAGACACACTCATGGAAGAGCAATCTCTTTGAGAGTCACTGAGCTCACAGAAACCACTTCTACCTCAGGACAGCCTTGCCTGAACTGCAGACAGTCAAAGTTCAGAAGGTAATTTTTAGGAGTGGCATCATTTTACGCTCACATCATTCTTACACTCCTGCCAGGGCATCAATGCCAGCACTCAACAGCAGACAGGTTACTGAGAGCCACAGATCTTCATCCTGATCTGGTACAGCTTCTCTTGTGCTCACAGACTGTCACTGTTTGTTACTGGTTTTGTCTTTGTGGCTTCTTGAGACTGATGAGGAGTTTGTGCCAGGAGTGCTGTAAATCATCCTTCTCTAGTCTTTCTGTGAGATGACGCTCAGTAGCAACATCCTCATCTCTCCAGCTGCATCACCCTCGCCTTTAACACTCATGCCTGGTAACTCCTTTTTCCAACATCAAACCCTATTGTCACATTTCAAGCGTTCACAGTCTTTCAGTGTTTAGCTTCCCTGTACCTATCACATCTACCAGTTTATCAAGCTGTCAACCTCCACCTTCCCTTTGCCAGTGACAGCAACCTCCACGGCATCAGGCATCTCCTGCCTTCCCACCAGGCCACGCTCCACAAATGGGAAAAACTCCATGTCAAAATCTGTTGATTTGGTACGTCTCTAAAATCCCTTTGAAACCTACCATCTGGCATTTCATGATGCAAGTAGGGAACTGCAAGCATATACTCTGCTTTTTCTGCTAAATTCTGTTAGTCATGTTGCTACCTTATCCTTCAAACCATCTCTGCCTTGCTCTGTTTACTTGCTACATCTTTTTCAGCATCTGGAGTGTGCCTGCTCTAGGGGAGGAATCGTTTCCTTTGCTTCTCACCTTGAACCATCCATGAGTCCTTAGGCCCTGAATCATGATTCAGTTTCTTAGCTCTGGCAAATTATAAATAATGTTATTTAGCTGACTAACCACTTGAGAACCAAGTGCTGCTCTGCTGCTGGTTTATAGTGTGACCTCAGGCAAGTCACTTAGGACATTTCCAAATGCATGGAGACTCCAACCCACACCCAGTTACCCTAATGAGCAGTTTGATCTTTTCAAAATGTAGGAACATCTTTAACTTCCACTGAAATCAGTGGTGCTGAGCATAATCCCCAATGCCTGTCACAGAGTCTCTTCTTTTATGGAGACCTTTCCCTTCCAAAATGTTTATTTTTACAGAACAAGAGTAAATGCTACACATCACTTCCTGACTGCACACTCCTTTGTATCTGTTAGTACCAATCTATTTTACAGTTTGGAAGGAGTTCTGAGCGATTTGCAGAACACCAGAGGTCGGTTCAACAGCAGAGCCTGGGATGCTGCCAGCATTCAGGCTGGCCAGTAACACAGAAACAGCAGTGAAGGGCTTCCAGGATTACCTGGTGTTCATCGGCCACACAGTCATTACATCATTAAAGGAACCCCTATCTCAGCTGTACTCATTCCCATCAAACTTGCAGTGCACATTTTGAGGCCCCCAAATAGTTCCTTTTTCCCATCACCACATAAAAAGTTTCAAGGAAGACATTAAAGCAGAAGAAAAAGCCAGGTGAGCCTATGCTTGCCCAAAACTTAGAGCTGAGATAGAACCAGGACAAACTGCTCTGATGTTCAGTCTCAAACCTGCCCTGAGCTGAACCAAGGATCAGTCCAATCTCTGACCTTACTCTTGAAAAAGTGAATGGAAAGGCAAACTGGCAGGAAGGGCAGTGACAGAGTTCCTAGGAAGTCACACACACCCATTAAAAAAGGACTTCAACTCATTTCACAAAACATTTCTCAGCTAATAATGTCTGTCATTAGCAGTTTAGAACCTGGGCAGGATCTGAGCCAGCCTGCAGCAGGACTCTGCCTATACTGTGTGACATATCTGTGTGACATATCTGTGTGACATATCCGTGTGATGTGAGTTCCTTGGGCAGCCCTTTCAGAGAATTTACTACTTAAGTTCAGTCTGCCATTTTCAAAAAGAGTTGCTCAAAACTGAAAAATAAAGATGCACTTTTCAAAGAGGCTTAATTAAAGAGTGTATTCAGCACAGTTAAAATTATTTAAGGCAGTCAAGAGCAGAACTTTTTAAAGACTTACTTTTTCACTTTGGGGTATTTCATCTCTGAAATTGCATTGGTAGCATCCGTCTGTCTCTCCTTCAAGTGCTGTGGCCACATATTATCCACCCAGTCGACTAAGTCCACCTGAAAGGCCCCAAAATCAACTGTTAGCTCCTGAACACATGGTGGGACGTATTCTTGTTGGCTGAAACTCCTCCAGTGACAGCAGCAGATGCTCACAGGGAGAACCTTGCTGTTCAGCAAAAGTCCTGTGCACTCAACTTGTTAAGGTGCAGCATTTCACCATCACAATTCAACCCCTTAAAACACAGGGGGAGGAGAGTTTTACAGTCAGTTTACCTGAGTGCAAATTCTGTCTCATGTGAGCCCTTTCTCTTGTACTGTCTGTGGCATTTTTGTAGCCAACAGCCTAGAAATTGCATTTATGAACATTAAAATGCAAACATTGAAGGGATTATACTATGCTAATATCTTCCATTTCAAGGAGGAAATAGGACTGATTCCATCAATATCACAACTGTATGTGAAAACAAAACTTCTTACTGCCCTGATTTTGAAATGATTTCCACATTCTGATATTGCAACCCAGAGTTTACACAGCAGGGAACCTAAATCAGGTATTTCTGCTCTATTCTGGACTCAAACTCTGCAGGATTCAAGGGAATATCTTATACAAATATATGGGAGCTGATTTTAGGTACTGGACTTCCACAACACCCTCTCCTCTACTCCCATGGGAATGCAAATCTCTCTTTCAGTGAGATCTAAATATTCCTGGTTTTACAAACAACTGTGCACTCAGTTATTTAAAACAGCTATGAAATAACCATTTACACGTGATAACAGGTACCTAACTGCGTATTTCATTTCTAAGCACCCAGGAAATTTGCACAGATGTTTTAAAAGCTCACTGAGCACAACGTGTTTGGGAAAACCGGGATCAATTGAACACAAGAAATTCCCCAGAGCACCTTCAAATTGCCCGCTAAGTGTCTGAATGACAGCAAAAATCTGAATGAACTTCTAAATAAGTGTTTAATATTCAAATTTGTGATCTGTGTGTAAAAGAACAAAGGAGTGTAGTTAAGAATTACTTGTACAAATCAGCAATTAGAGCTGCCATCTATCTGTGACCCGTTCAGGCAGAAGTGTGGTGTTTCTATTGTCCTGGGTAAGAGATGTCCCCAGCAGAAAAAACTGCTGCTGTAACTGGAGAAGGACTTAGAAATCAGGTAAGAAGTGTCTGAAAACAAAAAAACATCACAGAGCTGTAGTTTTACCCTCAGCTAGCGCAGCACACATGGCTACATTTCAGAGATAAATGAAATCATCTTTACAGAGAAGGTCACAGTTTCATGCCAGTGACTGCATTGGGAATAGAATCACAAGAGCCCTCTGCCTTTAAAAAGTCTGTACAAATCAACTACTGCTAATTCTGACATAGCAGTGATGATGCTGATTTAATTATGTAAACAGTTATACACTTAACAATTGTGTTCCCAACTTTTTTTTTGCTTTGGAACCCCCTGAACATTTTTTGAGTAAAAGGAGTGTTCATATACAATGAGTCCAAGCTTCCTGAAAGTTTAAGCTTCTTTAGAGGAGGAAAAATACTAGATAGTATTTAATTTTGGATGAAGTTTCCCCTAAATACCTTGAGAGGAACTGTGTATCAGTGCAAATTGCATGATTAACAGCTCATCAGGTGTTGGAGATTTTTTCAGGGATGGCCTAGAAGGCAGCTGTGAGGAGCAGATTCTCACAGCCTGTTTCTGTGAACAGCAGAGGTTCTCAGGTTATTTTTAACTACAGGTAAAAGTGACAAACATGAAGGCCTTGAGAGCCTTGCACATCAGAGTTCTCAGGCAGCTTTCTCATAACAAGTGGATGTTCTATCTTTGGCTGTTTTGGGAAAGCAAGAATAATTTTGAGAACCCAAATCTTGGTATTGGAAACATAAGGTGGAGTTGGTATGTTATCTCTGACCTATTGTGAGCTCAGATTTTGCAATATGCATGAAGTGAATTAACACTGTTATAAAAGGTGACTGATTGATGAATAAAGTGGAGTCGATGGCTGACAAACGCAAGGTGGGTCGTCTCCCCTCCAACTTCAATAATCAGGTACCTAATTCGTGTAAATTAAGTTCCCCTGTCAAGGAGACCAGCTTTCCACTGGGCTAAAAATGAGATGCTGCCCCTAAACGAGCAGGAGTTCCGGGCACCTCCCATCACCTTGCTCAAACTCCCTGATTTATTTCTGGGCAGAAGCTGCAATGAAGCCCAGCACCAGGGGCTCCCTTACCACGTTGGGGCGCTTGACAATGTTCTCCAGCTTGGTGTGGCTGAACTCCAGGCTGATGACGTTGTAGAGCTTCTCCCGCTGGGCCTCTGGGGTCTCGTAGTAGCGCACAAACTGAGACATGCTCATCTCCACCCCCCTCTGCGTGTTCACATCCATCACATCCACGATCCTGCGGCTCCCTGCAACACAGCAGCACCTCAGAACATCTGCCTTGCCTGATTTAGGTACATATCAAAACATGTATGTATGTTATTTAATGTCGCTGAAGGACACGAGAGAACACAAGCACACTACTACTCAAGGTGAAGGGAAAAAAGGGAAGTTTTATTCTCTGACTCTAATATTTATAGTTTTACAAAAGTGACAGTGGATTGGAAGGTGACATTGACACTTCTGCAGTGTCACTGGTCAAACCAACAGTTTATCAACTCTCTCTTCTTCTATAAAGGAATGTAAAACAATGAGTTCTTTACAGAAAGTGTGTGAGAAAATTCACTCTAGGAATGTCAACATCAGAAGGCTTAGAAAATCTAAAAAAAACAGGGTGACAATTTAATATATCTATATGTATATATCAGTTCTCAGTGACTGCAGGGAAACTGCAGGAAAAGAGGATGAGACCAGTACCAGCCTTTCCATGGCTCCTAAGAAGCTCTAACAGTGAGCAAGGAACTAACTTGGAACTTTTGCCCAATGTGACACTGAACAGGTCACCTGGTTCCTCACAGAGATGGAGAGAGCAGTTTCCTCCTTTATCTGAATTGATGTGAGCAGAAGTACATTAAAAACTATGAAGAAGTAATACAATATGGTAGCAGGGGGCAGGCAAGACAAATTGCTCTCCAAATCATACTGCAATTTTCTAAACATCCATATGTCTCTCAAGATGCTTTTACTCATGTACAAAACCTATCCACAAAGAGCAAAAACTGCCTTGCATCACTGGATAGTGTAAACTGCTGAACATTCCCAGTTCCAGTGGATGAAAGCACTAAATGCCACAGAGGAGTGAGCCCCCACTTTGGATCTCTCAACAAAAACCACAAGCCTTACTTTCAACTCCTCGAGTGGCAGACATACAAGTCTCATTAGCACCAGAATGTTGAGCAGCAGTTTTAGTCGAGCCTTCAGCTTTACACAGATTAATCCACAGTCTTCTCTTCGGCCAACTGGAAGGTTTCACCTCTCCCAGCAATTTCATCATCCTAATTAGCAGTTCATTTGTGTGTGAGTGAACAGGAGCCCATGAGAGACATGCCTCATTTCCAGGAGAGGATTCCAGCAAACAAACTCGCAAGGCTTCCAAAAAATCTCTCCAAAACAATTTTCACCGCCAAAGAAATAACTCAAAACAAATTGCATTAATACAAAATGTAGGGCTGCGATGCACCATCAGAGGGAATTATTAATAATTACAGCACCTGGTCTATCATGTGCTTGGGAGCAGTATTTCAGCAAGAGTAATAGCTTGGATTGCTGCTCTCCATTACAAACATCCTTAGCCCCTGATAGCAATGACAGTGACAGATGTGATAATGACTCTGCAAAGGAACTCAAGACCGTAAAGCTTTGAAATCAAAAAGAAAAATTTATATAGTGTAAATCTGGGATAGTCCCACCAGCCTGTCAGTCAAAGTCCTCATTCCAAGGCAGGAACAGGAGCCCACCCTCGGACCGGGCTTGGGACTGTCCGGAGTGTTGCCACCTTGAGGCAGGATGGGGAGAGTTTAGCTAAGTGAGAAAAAGCACAAGAGTCCTTAAATGTTTGAAATAACATATATAAAATCTAGTTATGGGTTGGAGGGTTTTGTTGTGGTTTTTAAACTAGGGGAATGGTCTTTTTTCAATTCCTCAATTTAGCAGCTTGGGGTGGAGTCCTGTTAAACAGGCCCTTAATGAAAACCATCCTGATCTCTGCTTCCAGGGCCTGGATCAAAGCAATGGCTCCATCCCAGAGGGGCAGAGGACACAGATACTCAAAGATTGCATTTGAAGGGTTGTGTGGCTGAGCCCGGGTTCTGCCATATTTTAGTCTAGGTCTGATCTCAGCTTTGCTGGAAGCAACCTCGTGGAGCCTCTCAATTATCCTTTCCAAAAGAAAAATCAGCAGTTACCTGATGAATTAAGAGTATGAGGAGCAGTTCAATAGCAGGTTTGTTAAATGAACACGATTATCAATTACAGGCAGAAGAGCTTAAGATTTGAATTGATAATCTCTTGACTTCCAAATTAAAGAGTAATTTGAGGGGATGTTTTTCTCTTAAGCCACAGTACTGTCAAACAAGCCTATACATAATGATTCTTGGAGTGCTGCTCACAGAATTTGAGATGTATAATTACAGGTTCACATCCTGGTGTTCACTGCCCACTGCACAGCAGCTCTGGCTCACTGCCAGCTTTATCTCTTCTGTCCTGAAAGAATTCAACTCTTTCTTCTATCTCCTGTTCCTAGTACAAGGTGAAAAAATATCATCTAGGAGAGTCAAGAGCAAGGGAAAGAAGCACACAGAAGCCTAAGAAGTGATGGCAGGCTGAGAGATCTCAGGTCAGGCTGGATTTCTGAGCAGCTCCACACACATTTCACTACAATTCAATACATCCCTAGGCATCCCCTTATCACACTCACTGTGTTCTCAAAGAAGGGACCCCCTCAACCAAGCCTGGGGCAGCCCAGCATGTCCCAGCAGGTCCCAGCAGGGCCTCAGTGACCCTGGCAGCCTCTCACCCTCTTTCCCCTGTCCCTCACTTCAGCTCATCACCCCTGACATGGATTAACAAACCCCTGGAGCCTGGCAGAGTCCCTCCCTGCTGACAGGGGAAGCTTCAGAGCACTGTGCACCATCTCAGCCTTGACTCCCCTGGGTGCTTTTCCAGTGGAGCTCTGCACTGGGCAGTGTGGGATGAGCAGGCTCTGCTTCCTCTCTGGCAGCAGATGTGACTCAGAGGCAGAGTGGTGGTGCTGGAGGATTTTACAGCCTAGAGAAACATCTTCCTCTCCTGCTGCTTGCTCATGGAGCACAAGTGAATCCCCAAAGGATGACAGAGACAGTAACTAAGAAACAAGCTAGTGCCATCTCTGACAAGAGGAACAGACAACAGCAAGGAGGAGACAGAAGAATCAATTGCAGGGATGTTAGTTGAAAAAAAAAAATCCATCAGTATGAGCTACAGGAGAACTATGCTTTGCTTAAAACCTTAAAAACACATCAAGTTACTCAAGTTAGCTCATGTATTAGTAAAATCCCCATTAGAATTAAGGTGACAATAGCATATATAATATCAGTTGCCTTCATTTAGAGGCCTAATGACCAAGACACTGTGAAGATTCTCATAGATTGAATTGTACAGCATTTCTATATGCTGTAATATAATATATTTTTCACATAGAAATGAACTTTTGGAGGAAAAACAACTTGTGTAGGGTCCCTGCCCCCCACTGCCCACCCTGGACAAGCTGGTTTGGCACAGAGAGTGTTTTTTCTGGGCTCCTTGGTAAAACAAGAGCAGCAGGGGAGCAAACCTTGTCCCCTTGTCAGAGAGAGAACTGCCCTTCAGGAATGAAGGCTACACAGGCATCTTCCCTGCACCAGCAAATGATTTCCCAAACCCCAGCTCACCAAGCCCACCCCAGACACTTGTGGGATGATGGAATGATGGGCTCCAGCTCTGAAGTCGTTCAGCAAAGCTCTTGTTGATCTCCCCTGCAGAGTCTGCACCCACACTTCCCTTCACGTATAAAATATTTAAACAATTTTCCAGAGAGAGAACAGGGAATGGGAAATGCTGGGACTGTAATCATATCCTCTGTTGTCCAGCAACTGCCATTTTTTATTTCTAACAAGTGAAGCACTGCCTTCCCCTGCCTGAGCTTCAGGTTATCCAAGCTGCCAGACTCCAGCTTTCAGCATGGCCCATCCTTTTCCATGATGTGATTTTTGCATGGATATTTGGAGCAGTGGAAGGAATGCAAACATGAACCACACAGCAGAGTATGAGAAATGCACAGGAGGTGTGAATCAGAGCTGCAAACGACACCAGAGTTTTCTAGGCTGTGGTCTCTTCTCCAGCACAGCACCAGCAGGAAAAGGTGCAACTCCCCCACAGCAGAGGAAAGAGGAAATGTCCTTTCTGTAAGAATGATTATCAAGCCTGTCCATTAAGAGGATAAAGATACCTTGGGGAATTATTTTAACCCTCTGTGGCTGAATTGAGATCTGTGCTGAAGGTACAATACAGTGTTGACAACCAGAAACCAACCTCCAACGCCGAGGGACCGGCCTGCTGCTCCTGCCTAATCTTTATGCTTCTTATGAGGAAAAAATCCTTGGTTTGTAAAGCAGCATTTTTGGCAGAGCCTCAGGAAATCTGCCAGCCTCGCTAGCGGGTTAATTGTACCTAAAGACTGAGGCTTTGACTTGCATCCCAGTTAATCCCCCCGGAGCTCCCGGGCTGGGAGCACGTATTCTTCTGCTGCCCACGGGAGACCATTATGATATCCCAGCTAACGGGGAGGGATGTGAACCCGAGCAGAAACTCCTCACTCAAGTGGAGCTGTTCCCGACATCCCCTGCATTTCTCAGCCAGGGTAGGAGCAAATTAAAGGCGCGTCCCGATCCCATCGCTCTCAGTGCCACCAGAGGGCACAGAAGAACAAAGGGAAGCGAGCCCGGCCATCGCTCACAGCGCTCCCCACAGATCCTCGCCCGGCGCCTTCCCCAGCACCGCCGGGCCCGGGAACCGCCGGGCATCATCCCTGTGCCCTGTGCTGATATAGGGCATCCATCCCCTGTGCCCTGTGCCCTGTGCTGCAATAGGGCATCCATCCCTGTGCCCTGTGCTGCCACAGGGGCATCCCCTGTGCTGCCATGGGGGCATCATCCCCATGCCCTGTGCTGATATAGGGCATCATCTCCTGTGCCCTGTGCCCTGTGCCGTAATAGGGCATCCATCCCCTGTGCCCTGTGCTGCCATGGGGGCATCCATCCCTGTGCCCTGTGCTGCAATGGGGGCATCCATCCCTGTGCCCTGTGCTGCCATAGGGGCATCCCCTGTGCTGCCATGGGGGCATCATCCCCATGCCCTGTGCTGCCATGGGGGCATCATCCCTGTGCTGCAATAGGGCATCATCCCTGTGCCCTGTGCTGATATAGAGCATCCATCCCTGTGCCCTGTGCTGATA